GTGTATAATGATAGACAGTTAGAAATCGTAAAAAGAGCTATTTATAAGTTTTTTCTTTTAGTCGTAGAAAGACGCTAAACCGTACTCCAAAATCATCACTAGCCAAAACGTAACAAATTGAAAAATTAGCAAGTCACAGTACCTTCACCTACCATATGTCCTCCCTACTTTGCTTACTTGCTCTTCCAACTATACCATATTATATGCAAGGTCCAACCTAATGATTCAATTAAGATTACTAATAGTTTATACCACGACTATGTTAATGGTTGTGATTAAGAAATTCGAGATTGAATTAATTTAAGGACACATGTTAAATTTAATAGTAATAAGAGTACTCTACTTACACCAATTTAAAAATTAAAAAGTAGGAAACTCGCTTGTACCTAAATGGACAAACGAAAAAGAAATGGACAAATTTGAAAAGCTTGGAACTGGGAAGGGATAGATGAGTGAGTGGTGGGTGCAGAGCCAGGGATGCATGAGGGCTGGGTGTGGGATGCAAAAGGCAAAATTTAATCCCAATTTGTTTGTGGCTTCACATTTTTGTTATTTATGGCTTCACATTTCATAAATAATAAATAATTAGCAACAGAGCTGGGTGGGATTTCTCTGCCAAAAGAAAATTTTGTGGCTTCACATTTTTTTTTAATTAGTATTTCATGTACAATTAGCAACAGTTGGGTGGGATATCTCAGCAAAAAAAATTGGCCCCCATTTGTCTGTGGCTTCACATTTTTTTATAATTATTATTTCATATACAGTTAGCAACCGTTGGGTGGGATATCTCATCAAAAAATTTAGGCTGCCTTCACATTTTTTTTATTATTTAATATACAATCAACAACAATTTCTTCCACAACTATAATTAACTCGTTGAGTCATAAGGCATAAAATTGTAACTAAGTATGCTGCATTAAATTAATTAGTTGTATGAATAAATCAAAAGAGTCTGAAATATAAAATCATCTCATTCTAAAATCACATTAAGCATGTCCCAAACCTCCGAATTAGTCAGCATAGCCAACCTATAATGCTATATCGCAAACCACAACTTGTCATTTCTCAAGTTTAATTAGCCAAAAAAAAAAAAAAAACTATGGGTATCTCTACTGCTCAATCGAGCCACCGTTCGATAGTGATGTCAAAAGACTAGCTTTAGGTGTACTTTTCTTATCTTAAATAATGTTGTTGTACGGTAAAACGTCAAAGTAGGAATACTCGGTGATATCAGTCTTCCTTGCATTATCGACTTAAAGGGTTTAATTATTGACTTTTTACATGTACATGCATTAACATATAGAGCCTTTGAAAGGAAATCATCACCTTACATGATTTTTCAAAAGAGTTCATTTCACTTACACCTTGTGAAAGTGACGTCTTTTCAGTAAACTCTTTCAGGTATTAGAAATACATCAGCATCTGTGATTTTGAAAATTACATCTACCTTCATACATAAATAAATAAAAAACATAAATAATAAAAAAAAATATTGATAGTCAAATGAGAATTTTAGAAAATTTTAAAAGGCTTTTTAGAGTAATAGATTTGATACGATTGTAGAATCTGTACAACATTCAAATAGATTTTTAAGGATTATTCTGGATTTTGATTAAAGATTTGAACAGATTTTGAGAACTTTCTTATCATTTAAAAAAAAAGTAGTTTTAAATAGAAAATAAGATTAAAATAAAAAACTGGTAAAAAAGTAATGGAGAACTTTGCCCAGTCCTTCGAACTCAAAGATGATGTCGAAGCAATTTGAATTTGGTCATCTTCCTGGTTCTAGTGGATCTTACTACTCAAAGGTGATGTCGAATTGAATATACAAGGTGGTGATGACGAAGATTGAATATACAATAGTAGAAGAGGGACTAGAGGGATGAGAAAGGGTGGGTCGGATAAAGTTTAAGGGGAATGAGAGCAGCCGCTTGAAATGAAATCCTAGGCGTTGAGGTGAGATGCTCTATATCAATACTCTCAATCCTGCAAAATCTTTAATTCAAAGAAATCTTTTAAAATCTATTACTTTTTGAATACCTATATATTTGTATTAACTCGTTAAAAGTTTTTTAAAAGCCTAGTTTTTTTTTGAAATTTTTTAAATGCCTAGTTGATTACACATGGATTTCGATGCATGATTTTAAATCCTGTTAAACTTACTTTAACTACACTATAATTTTAAAATCTTTTAAAATTCTCCTATAAGATTATAATTAATTACACCATGATTTTACAATCTTTTAAAATCCTTCTAAATCTTAATTTGAGTTGCATAGTCATCTGTAAGAGTAGAATGATTCAGCAAACAAGTTGTTGCAATGAAGAGATTTTTCATTGTGACTGGAACACAAGTGGTACACTACGTATTTTTATATAAGTGGTAGAAAATTTTATTTTCTAATTTATTAACTTTTTAACACATACATTCTACTATTTGTATAGTAACACGTGGTGTACCAACTCCGTGTTTCGGTCACACTTTGCAATGAACTATATAAGTCAGGTTGTTGCAGTCATGGGCCTCTTCTGTTCATTAGGCCTCTGAATTTTCCTCTTTTTAGGATAGCCCAATGAGACAAATCTAATCTTATTTATTTATGGCCAAATTGGATTATTCATCCCCGTGGTCATAGGAAACTTGCATGATGACCCCCGTGGTGAAAAAACTAGGAATTAAACTCATGTGGTCAAGAATATTAGCAAATTTAGTCCAAAAGTAAGATTTCTGTTAAATGATTGTTAAAAGTATGGGTAAAACTGTATTTTCAGTTCCAATTGACATTTAAAATAAATAATTTTTTTGATAACAATTAACAAAAAAAATAATGCTTAATTTTTTAAATAAAAAAAAGCCCTAATTCAATGTCAATTGGAACTGAAAATACAGTTTTACCCCAACTTTTAACAGTCCTTTAACAGAAATCTTACTTTTGGACTAAATTTGCTAACATTCTAGACCATAGGGGTTTAATTCCTAGTTTTTTCACCACGGGGGTCATCATGCAAGTGTCATATGACCATGGGGATGAACAATCCAATTTAGCCTTTATTTATTTATTTAGCCAATCTTTTGTCTGATCACTCGTTAAATATTCAAATTACTTTTCTCTCATTAGAATTTTAAAAAATAAAAATAAAAAAATCACAAAAAAAAATTCATGTAGTAAGATTATGGGTGGTTATGTTCGTTATTTCTCAAAATTTTAATAAAACCACATATCTAAAATAAATAAAATTACAAAAACAATTAAAACAATACAAAAGAGCTTTGACAGAAAAAGACAAGTAAATTGTAGTATATTTGATTAATTAAGTGAAAGGAGACAAAGTTATATTAAATTTAAATAAGCAACCAAAGTTTTAGCATATATATAATATATGTATATATTCAGGCTAGATATGGGTACATAGATATTAATCTCAACAACACAAAAAAAGAAATGAGTGTCATCTATGGGCGGAACTAAGTCAGCTAAGGTCCTTTTTACTAGGTTATCTCCACTTCAACGACAAGGTATAATATTTTCAGTGTATACGAAGTTAAATTTGACTTTTAATTTTTAACTTAGATGCCTTAAACCAATTTTAGAGTTAAACAAGTCTGTCTTTTACCTCTAGAGTTATATTCAAGTCAAATATGAGTTTGCATTTGGCACCAAAGTTATATATAATCTCGACATTCTGGCGCATTGAAGAAGATTTGAGTCAAATTTAGAATCAAAACATAACTTTTTACTTTAAAAATTCCGATGCATAAAAAATAGCCTTAGAGATTTTATTGTATAAAACGAAAGGATATTAGTTTTTTACTAATTTTCTCATCACGGTTACACTCCAGATTTTGACTCCTTTCACCCATAATTTTGTATTATGCACTTTGCAATTTGACAAGTTGTTCTTCATGATGTAAGTTGCAAGATCATCAATTTTATATTATTTGTTATTTTTCAAAACAGATTTGTACGTTCATTACATAATGGTTAACCATATCATATAAGAATCATATTTATAACAAAAAGTTTGTATCTTTTAGCCCAAGAAATTCTATTCAAAATAGTCAAATCGTACATTGATAGACATATTAAAATGTCTCTAAAACAATTTAAGAGGCTACACAACATTGCAATCCTAGAATTACGAACACATAAAAAATTCAAAAGAGAAATAAAGAAAATGGATTTTCAGTTAACACGGTGATCCCACAGATGCATACAGGTTATGATCAACTGTTAAATCCGTGAGTAATTTTTTCTTAGGACAATCCGTGTCTAATAGTGTCTCTCTACAGTAAGTTCTCAGTTTGACAACGCATGCTGAGAGTAACTACAGATAAAAACTAAACATGAGTTGTTCTCATCGTACACAGACCTGGCGCACTGCCAACGGAAGGCACCTTGACATCAGTGTGCATATAGAAACCGTGCAGCCCCAACGGCACACGTGACAGAAGAAACCCCCCAACCAATTTGGCCACTTGTGACTTTGCAATTTCCATTCATATTATGTCAGAAAAGAGAGAAAAAGAAAGGCAGAAAATTCGTAGAAGTTTTCGAAAAGTATTTTCTAAAAGACAATCATTAAGAAAATAGAGAAAGATTTTATTTTTTTTCGGTCAGAAAACAGATATTTATCTGAGTGTTTCTGTTGACAAATTTTTACTTGATTATGTACCTCAAGAAGAATCAGAAAATAGAAAAAGATATTTATTTGGTTTTTTGGTCAGAAAAAAGATGCTTATCTGAGTCTTTTTTGTTGACAAATTTGTACTTGATCACTCACCATATGAAGTTTATTTTTACGTTTTATAATATGGTAAAGAGAGACAAACATGGTTGTATATCCTAGTTGTAACTTGTAAGTGTGTCAATAAAAAAATAAATACACATTAATTGATTGAAATTCTAACCCAATGTCTTCGGATACCAAAAGATCTTTGCCTCCCTGACTTCTATATATACCCCTAGATACCTTCTCTTCCACAATTCGTGAATCAACTTCTCAATTCCACACTCTCTCTCTCTCTCTCTCTCTCTCTCTCTCATTTCTGTTTTCGTTAGCCAAAGTCATCCAAATTAAGGACACTGCTAACAAGCAAAGATGGAAGAACAGGCTCAGCACTACACAAGCTGCTGCTCAGCGACGATGAGTAATATTAGCAGTCCACATGTGATGCCGTGCTTAACAGAACAATGGGGAAATTTACCCTTCCAAGTCGACGATTCCGAGGACATGATCGTCTACAACTCCCTTCGTGATGCCTTTAGCCTCGGATGGTCTCCCGACCACACTTTTCCCTTCCAAGTCGACGATTGGGAGGACATGATCAACAACAACTCAGACGCTCTTAGCCTCGGCTGGTCTCCCGACCACACCTTGGAATGCATCAAACCCGAACAAGCGTATGATCTTGATCATCTTTTTGATCAATATCATGATCAGCTGCCACCTGATCTTTTCACTCAATCTCAACCCCACGATTTTGATGTTTCCATTAATGGAAACAAACCCTCACAAGCCCTAGTACTCCCACCTGATACTGATATTCCTCCGTTGGATCATGACGATCGTGATCAAAATCAAGTACAAGTAGGAGATGCAGTAGCTGAACAAGAGGAATTGAATGTGAATGTCCCGAAATTACAAAAGTCGGGGGTGGCGAGAGGGAGGCATTATCGAGGGGTGAGGCAGCGGCCGTGGGGGAAATTCGCGGCAGAGATTCGTGACCCGGCTAAGAATGGGGCCAGAGTTTGGCTTGGTACCTACGAGACTTCCGAGGAAGCTGCTTTGGCTTACGACCGCGCCGCCTTTCGCATTCGTGGCTCCAAGGCTCTGCTCAATTTTCCTCACCGGATTGGGTTGAATGAGCCTCCGCCTGTTCGAGTCACCGGCAAGCGAAAAGAGCCAGACCAAGAGGCCGCCGCCAGCAGTAGCACTTCTTCTTCTTCTTCAGCGACGCCAACGGCGGCCACCAAGAGGTCCAAATTAGACAAGTCGGTCTCCTCGTCGGCAGATCATGATCATCAAGCAAATGTGTGTCACACAAGGCAAAAGAATAATACCTCATATATGCTGGCAATTGGCGAGCAACTATTGGTTAGCTAATCATCATCTGTGACCTTAAATGTAATATATATGGTGGTTAATGCGGACTTGCAATTGTTACTACAAAGATCGATTGATCAGTAATTACAATTGCAACCCAGTAAATCACGAGCTTGTTTATTCAGTTAATCAATTTACTGTGTGAGTGCGGGATTGGTCATTAAAATTGCAGTGCAATGACTAATGTAGAACAAATGATTGAAACAACTGAAGAATGATTTGGCAGACGTAAAATTGGCAGCAACGCCAAACAATATAACTATCCATGATAAATATATAAAAAAAAAAACAGTTGATGAGGAGTCATTGTAATATTTTTGTGTGCATTTTTGAATCCCATCATCACCAAGAAATGATGGCAATAACGAAAGTCACGAGCCCACATTTTTTTAAATGGCTGTATGATTTGAGTACTTTAACTACCCAACCAAATAAATTGGCAAATATTAATGTATTCATAGATTCCAGCATGCAATAGACAAGTGTAAAGCCACAACTGATAAAATCATAGAAGTAAGGCCACCGATGCAGTATCTATCGATCACAAGGCCCACCACAATCCATCGGGGGAATAGACGTTCGGGATTTGTCATCTTCATCTTTGTCTCCCAGAGATCCAAATCGGCCGTCAGGGTGGGTAGAATATATTTCTCCACACACTCATATATACGCATTATTTTTAAATTATTTTGTAATTAAAATATCCTTTTAGTTGCTTCAGCTATTTGGTCAAAGTCTTGATAGAGGACCATGTTATTTTAACCAATAAATACATTAGATGTTTAGTGTGAAGAGAAAAATAGTCATAACAAGCTGGATCGAGACATGCAACTTCGACAAGTCTTCTTATTGGATACTGTTGGCTTACCATTCGCACGCATCCCATTCTCGAGAGAAAAGGAAGAATTCATTCTTTCACTAAATACCAATCCCTTTGCCCAATAAAAAGATATTTAGTTTAAGATTATCAAACGTGGGTGTACATTTAGTAGTCAAAGAAACAAGAAATGTTTTTCCTTTTACGTAACAGTTTGCTTCTTTATAGAACCTCATGCTGCAAGATGGGCATGCCTTTTCGAACATCGTTTTGATTTTTCAAAACACGGTTCATTTAAAGTTTAGGACTTTGCAATTAAATTGGTTAAGATTTTTTAGTTTGTATATTTAAATTTCCTCTTCTCATTATTACTTATATCATAGAAGAAAGAAAAAACTTAAAATTTACCTTTGAACTCTTTCATTTACTCAAAATTAACTTGAGGTTTTAATCGCAATTACACGAAGTCTTAAACGATGCATGTGTCTACAATCTATAAATCATCAAGGGTAGTGATTTTTACATTCTCGTTTTATCTCTACGTACTTTTCTTGTTTTTTTTCTTTATTTTTAATTTATTCAAATCAAAAGTTAAACAAATGGGAGGATTAGGGTTTTATAGAATTTTCAAGGGTGATGTCAAATTTTAAACATTTACAACCTACATGGCACTTTAACATCTTTTAAAGTTTAGCTCTCCACCTGACATGTCAAATTAAACTATTTTATTTATTTATTAAACTATTATAATAAATATGTTAATACACAAAACAATAATATAGAGGAAAATATTTTAGAGATTTGATTTAATTAGTGATTTGATATGATTTAATTAGTGATTTCATATTATTTGATTTGATTTGGTATAGATTTCCTTATCTTGTGGACAAAGAATTGTTTTGATTTATTTCTTAGTATTACTCCTTTGTAATCTTTTAAATACCTCCTTATGGAGAAGAATAAAGTATTGAAGTAGTATTTGAGAATTGTGAGATTGTAAAGAATTTTAAATTTATCCTAAACCCTTTATTTTCAACTAGGTATCAGATTGTGATTTACTGAGGTTTCGGAAAGATAGGATAGTTTTAGCATAAGATTTTTTGCATGTATGGCTTACTTAATGCGTGGTTCCAAGTGGGGGGGGGGTGTTGAATTTATAAAGTTTCAAATAGGATCTTATTTCCTTCTGAGCCAAATCATGAGTTTGAAGGGGGGGTGTTGAAAAATAAATTTGATTTAGTTAGTGATTTGATATGATTTAATTAGGATTTTATATGATTTGATTTGGTATAGGCTTTCTTATCTTGTGGACAAAGAATTATTTTGAATTATTCATAGTATTGCTTATTTGTGATTTTATAAATACATTCTCAAGGAGAAGAATAAAGTATTGAAACTGTATTTAAGAATTGTGAGATTGTAAAAAATTCTAAGTTGAAGGAAGACTTTGAATGCGGTCCCTATCCATCAATATTTTTTTACTGAAACCTTGTTGGTTTTCAATTTTTCATCTAAGTCCTTAATAGGGCATGTATATATATATAAACATGAGTACATTCATCAAAATTAACAAAAAAATTATTGTACCAAAACATGGGTACATTCTTCAAAACCACAAAAAAAAAAGATATTAGGCTTAATAACATTAGTAAATTTCTACATGAATACATTCTCAAATTAAAGAAAAAGAATGTACCCATATAAATTTAAAAATGGATTAAAAAAATGAATAGATTTTATATAAAAAAAATGTACTTTTTTTTTTTTTTTGCTAGCAAAAAATGGTATATTTTACATATAACAAATTCATATATTTAAGAATGGGTACATTTTAAGATTAAAATTTTGAAAAATTACATGAATGGGTACATATAAGATTAAAAATTGAAAACATTTTTTAAAAAGCTAATGGGTACAAACTTATTCTAATTGTTTATTTATTTTGGAAATGTTTTGGATTAAAAATTAGTTAGGGGTTTAATAAAGGTGTGAGTATTAAAATCCTAAATCAATTATTATTTTTTATTTTAAAAAATTATGTAATTGACATGTAAATTCATTATTACATTAATGCTAGGGACTTGGATCAAAATCTGAAAACTAATAAAGTTTTAGTTAATGAACATTAGTAAATAGGGACCGGATACTAATTTTTTTTTTATCCTAAACTCTTTATTTTCAAGGGAACTTTAAAGAAAAGCTCCTGGTACTGTTCACCTTAATTAAAAATTACATTTTACACTAAAAAGTCAATCATGGTACTATTCACTTTACCCTTTATTTTGTCATTATCGTTAAAACTCAAAGTTTTTAAGTTATTTTCATTAGTTTTCCATATTTTCAATGGTTGCTAATTCATGTTATGCCACATCAGATTTTGCTTTTCGATTGAAAAATATTTTTTCTACCATTTTTAACTTTAATGTTGATTTAGACATTTAGACATTTATTTTAAAGATGCTCTAAAAATTTAAAAAGGAGTGCATCAAGACAACCCTAAAAATTTTCCATTCACTAACGCATCCATATAAAAATCCAAAAATTTGGCCAAGAGTTCTAAATGGAATGGAATCTAATCAGAGAGAACGAGCACACAGGTAGGTACGTGAAATAATTAATCAGATTTATCTTAATTATGCAAAGTCTAACTAGTTGGCAAGTTAATTATTTGTTTTTGATATCTGTTTTCTCCTGTGAGTTCAAAAAAGCAACCCGTCCGGATGAATGCAACTGCCCTATCAGATCCAAAGACAGGGACGTCTCCAAGATACATTAACCCTACCCACAAATTTCCGATCATCAAAAGCGTCCTAAAAGACTAAATCGATATAACTTTTTCTATATATATTCATTGTTTTTTTCACTTGACGTCTATCAGTTTGCTGGGTTTCAAATCAACTTTCAATATTCACCAACCGCGATGTTTGTTGGTATCATATATACATCTAGCCGGCCAACGTATGTTCAAAAATGACACACTCTAATTTCTTATAATACTGACCGTGTGTGTGTGTGTGTGTGTGTATGTACCACACTACCGTGTTAGGTTATGTACACACTCAAAACCACAAGTGAGGAGAAATTGACTCGTCATCGCTAGAATGCTACTTGTTAATTACAATAATCTTTGTTTTGCTCGACAATATAGATGGTTAAACTAAACAATTTTCTAATTAGATGATTTTTTTTTAAGATGATAATAAAGAGTATGAACACTAACAATTATAACGTCATCATATCAAGTTATAAAAATGTCTAAATTATTTATGCATTTCATAAAGGTGTAGAGACTTAGGCGACTACTGAGAGATGAAAAATGTTGAACATGTGCAACAAAAAAGAAACATTATAACCTAAAGAGAAGGCCACTTTTCAGTCTAAATGCATCGATTAGGTCAGATGTGAATAGCATATGGTTTAGACTTTGGATGTTAAGATCGGTAGCCTCTTTGTACATATCTGAGTTGACTGTTGAATTTTTAAAACTCAATTCCCTGCGCTCACCCTTGATTAATTTTGTCCTGCTATCATTTTTAACGTATAATTATACTAAGAGAAATTTTATTTAAACCTATGTAATCTCTTTCTACACCCAACTTAGGTCCCGTTTGGGATTGAGGTGATTTTAAAAAAAGCCACTGTGAAAAAAAGCTGAGGGTCATTTTTGTGTTTGGTAAACTGAAAAAAAGGGCTTATTTTGGAAGCTGCTGTGAGAATAAGCTGAAAATCAAAGGAAAAGCTGAAGCTGCTATTTGCTGCTTTGAAAAAAAGCCAGTTTTTTCAAAGCACACGGAGCTACAGTGCTCCTTTAATGAAAAGACACAGTATCATCCTGATTTTTTTTCCAAAAGCACTTTCACAAAAAAGTTTACCAAACACTCTACTGGCTTTATTTCACAGCCACTTATTCTCACAGCACAGCCGCTTATTCTCACAGCAGTTTTTTTTCAAAGCACAGCAATACCAAACCAGCCCTTATTCTCTACATCCATATTATTTGCAATTAAAGAATTAATATCTCTTTAAACCAAAATTTATTACCTAACTACCCTTCCAAACCCAATTCAAAATGTAAAATTATCTTTACACCCATTTATAAAATAAAATCTCAAATTAAATTGGATCTAACAGAAAAAAAAAATCCCCTTATAGCTAGCTAGCTTGAATTTGGGTACATATGAAAATGTTCTATATATTATTGGCTTATTGAATGTTAATAATTTGAAAAACTGATCAGTTTTTTTAGTTTAACTGTTCCAAAATTTTCTTGAAAGTTCCGTTCTCCACAATTCGAAGCTCAAGAGGCTGGATCGAATTGCTTCTCCTCGAGGCCACATAGCCATGATCCAAAAATGTTGCATCCATTTCTCTACAACATTCACTAAGAACTCTCTCTTCAACTTATCCTTTGATCTCCCAGTATATTATGTAGTGGCCTGGTTTTGGGACATCAAATCTGCATGGCTTATGAAATCGATCAGCTCGGCTTTCGACTTGCTCAACAGTTTAGATCCTTTATGGACCACCATTTGAAGGTTCTTTTCAGTGTTTTTGTCTATGTTTACTGTCAGTATTGATAGTGTTTTGTAAAAATGGTGATTTGGTATGGTAGGGTTTGATTATTAGGGATGAGTTTATTGATAAATTTTAGTTTTAATGTTAATTTCATCTTGTACTTGATGGTAATTATGCAATAGGGTAAAAAAGATAATTTTCTTTTACAGTTTAAGTTGGGTGTAAAGAGATGTTATGTGGGTTCAAATAAAATTTTATACTAACTATATATTCTAATCTCCATTACATTCTTTTAGTAATATTAAACGTTGTACGAAAAATCAAAGATTCTTAATTCTCATCACCGAGATCAACGGTTGCGATCATTAAAAAAACCCAGGTTTATATGATGCTTGGTCAATGTTCAACCCTATCCCTCGTCACGAATGAAGAAAATAAGAGTTACACTTAGACATGCTCGAGGTCATAAGTTTGACGCGAATGTTTATACTGGAAGTAAAGTGCCGCAATGTTTGAGTCAAGAGAAAATAACAAAGCAAGATGAACCCCACGATTAAAATGTCCGACCAATAATGTAACGGTTTTGCTCAGAATCACATGGTCCAGCAATGCATGGAGCTAGCTAGCTAGGCCCCATGTCCACCTCAAACATGTACATATTCTTCAGAATTTTGTCGCTATATCGTCATTATTTAATTAATATGTCGTGGTTATTTAATCGTAATTATTTTTAAAATTTGTATTATCCTAATTTCAGCCATTTTGTTTTTAACAATAAAAAGATCGAATTAAACGCATGCAAAGCCAAAACGAAATAATTGAGATTGAAATTTCAAGCTAAAAGATTGAGCCAATTTTCTTCCTTTGTGTGCGAAAATTATCTGTCACACCAAAGGTATCAAAATTAGTTTCCACCTTGTTTCATGAGGTGGATTTCAAACTAGGTATCTCTTTTTTATGGTGAAATACTAAACCTCAAAAGTCGCCACAAAAAATAAATATTTCTAAATTTCTGTAGTTTTATCTCCACGACCTTGATCGTCCTCACCGCCATCTTCTTGTTTCTTCATAACTTTCACCGGCTAAAATTACTGTTTTTGTTTTGTTTTGTTTTAATGCAACAATATAATTGATTCATAACTACAATACTAAAAACCTGTCTAATGTCTCTTACATATGTGATTGACTTTTTTTTCTGAATCAAGCTTTCACTACACCACCATCTGTCAAACCGGCCTGCCCTGTGCCGTCCATTGATTATGTTCTCATGCATTTACATGTAATATGCATGTCCATCCGATATATGTCCCGACCAGAGTTGTTCCACCGTCTTCTTTTTCTTGCATATGTGGACGCCCATGCAAACCCTATTTATTGTACTTATAGCATATAGCTAGCTACCTCCGCATAATAGTTGAAATTGGGGGCCGATACTTTTAGTGACAAGTCACCAACTTTTTCTAGCGTACGTAACTTTTGCATACAAATTTCTAAGCTCCACTACATTAAATTATAAATGATCAATCGATCGATACACCCACCCCAGCTGCATGCTGTTAAATTTGTCTGAGGTACGTGTTACGGCATGCAGCTCCTTACCAAGTCGGCTAAAGAATGATGCGTCATAGAATTCCCATCGACAGCCAAATTACTATTTGGTTGGTTTGTCCCAAATAACTTAACTGTTTCACTTTCGCTCCTTTGAACAGATCATACACGCGCATATTTCTTTATATATAATAAAAAAGAAAAAGAAGAAAAATCTTCGCAGCACAAATGATTGAACGAGACTTTGTCGTAAAGGTCTGGTGGATGATATTGCACAGCTTAACCTTGTTTAAGCTTTGTCCACACAAAAAGTATGTAGGCTAGCTAGGTTTTAATTTTTTTTTTATTAGAAAGGTAGGGTATTCGTTAAAATTGAAACAATACGTATAGAAGAGGCTAGAGTGCGATAAAAATGGGTCTTGTTACAAATTTTAATGGGAATTCCAACTCGATCAGAAGGAAAAAGTGGGTTTGCGCCAAACAAATCAATTACAGCTATCCTCGAATAACATATCAACAATGAAATCAAGAAATTCCTTGAATCAAATCTATTTTCTTTTCTCAAATAGACTAAAAGGGTGCAAGTCTATATGCAGTTCTATTGGTCTTCAGTTTCTGTCAGGAGGTTTTCATTTGAACTTAGAGCTAATCACGTTAAGTATTCTTGTTAATTTGGATGTATATAGTGTACATTACGTAGCTACTTGATATATTTGCAATTAATTAATTTGGTCCATTGGTTTACTTACATAATAAAGCAAGGCTATCCCTACCGCTTTAATTCAACCCTATTCGAACGAGTTTTTGATGACATATTTATGTTCAATAAACCCATGACTTTAACTGATGAAAACAACTAATTAATGTATGGATTAGACGAATGCAAAAAAAGGAAAATTGCAAGTTTGTCACTATATATGTCCATAAGCAATGATCGTAATTAACCATAGTAGTCTCTATGTCGGCTCCATCATTGTCACCAACATAATGTACACATACAATACAATTAATTAGGATAATAATTAACATGGATCGTGTCATAGTCCGTAATTTAATATAAGCGACATCGGTCCAACTATGCCACAGCTACCTAAAAAGCAAAACTCCAAAAGAATGCAGTTGGTTCTTTTGTGTTCTCTCTTTCCCTAAGGTTACCCAAACCCACCTGGTTGACAGTTTGACGGTACTATCAAACTGTGGGAGGATCGATATTGATATAAATTTAATGTACATATTGTTGCATGCAAGTTGATCAAACTAAAGCGACTTTTGCAAGTGGATTACTGCGATACAATGAACCTTCATGCAGTTGTACAAATTCATCTTGCTCAAGAGAAAGGAACCACGAAAACCAAGTTTGATTATTATTAGCTTAGAGACGCCAGAGTCAAGTTTGAAACTCCACGTGGTTTTTGAATTCGACTATTCAAGTCTTCAAGATCAGACAAACACAAAAGTTGTTTTCAAATGGTATATATTATGCATAAACAAATTGGTAATGGTTTGGTTCTTTTGTATTTTGCATTTTGTTTTCCTTTTCTTTAAATTGGGTTCTAATTAAACTTAGAAGGAATAGGGGACGGAAGACATAAGAGAGACAGGAGGAATCATTGGAGAAGAGAGAAGTTTTTGTGACGTCGGAAACATAAGTTAGTCTATCATTTTACGTGTTATAATAAATAATAGTAGATGTTGACATTGATGTTTCTCTTTTTAAAGGTATATTAATAAAAGAAATTCACAAATTATAATTTTAGTGGAATAGTTACACCACAAAGTTGTATTATGAGTACACCAAAAAAATTACCCGAAAAAGTACAAGTAGTTACCTAAATTTAAAAAAAAAATATTTAAATACAAGATAAAATGTGATATGGTATAAAAATGGTGAAATGAATTTTGTATGTATATCTGTTGATATCTACAAGGCTACAATATTATTCTGGCAAAACACGCATTGGATAAAATTAATAATTGTGGATTAGTTTTGGGGATGGATGTGGAAGCCTGCAGAACCCTACATGACAATCACTTGATAAGCCAGATATTGCAAATTGGCTAGTCTAGTTGATGTTGGATTGTATTAATTTTGGTACTTAAGTTCTACAGCAGTTTTGATAAAAAAAAAAGAAAAAAAAAAGAAGAAATTCTAGAGCAGTTGCAAGTTCAATCCAGCTACAATGATACGTATTAATAGTACGAGTTTTACGCAAGAAAATTTCTTAAATTCTTATATGCAAAATTTAACCATTAATTTTTCAAATTATTTCAGACTTCAGTGGTATGTACAATGAAAAAAAAAATGATCATTTCCATATAAAATAAATAATAAAAAAGAAGTTTGTACGGTCATGCTTTTTTTGGGTTTTATATTGTCTTCGATGTCGAGTTTTATATGCTAGAAGGTCGCTAGTCCCTTTTCATATATCTTTGTCAAGATATAAAGGACCCCAAAGGTAAACTAATGAGATTAGGAAAGTACGAATTGATACATGGAATCTTTTTATTTTTCTTGCACTCCGCATTTTTTTAAAGAAAATACGATAACTTGTTGAATTTAAGATGAGATACAGCTTGATTTTAGCTGACTGGCCAAGCCTTAGTTGCTCGCAGAAATCTGGACTGGAGGGTCTTCGTTCAAATTCTCGTGTTTTTCGTAATTCACCGGTTGATTTGTCGTTTAAATTTTAATTAGACAGTGAGTTCTAACGACATTTGTGGGACGACTGCTCTCGTCACTTAGCACGATCGTCGTCTGCCAATAGATGTGACTTATTCTTCCTACAGCTAGCAACTCTCATCTGTATAAAATACAAGCCACATTCAACTAAACAAACCAGATCTGCTATCTTTCATGAGGTTTCTTTATGTTAAGGATGTCCTTAAATACAAATATGTTTAGATTTATATCATAATTTATGTTTGAATCCCGCATGGTTTAAGGGTTATCTATGCTAAAAATAATCCAAATCGAATCAATCGATGACGTGCTAAAAAACAAGTTCATTAGTTAAAACTAAAACAAAAGTTCGGATAATATCGAGTGATGATAAAATTTCTAATTAGACCAATGTTTTGAATGAAAAATTCTTAACCCTCTGTTTAGATGAGGAAAATATACTTAAATTTGAACAAATCCCAGAATTTATAAATTATCATGCACAACTTCCTTGTTGGATTCATAAGAAATTTAAAATTTTAGCATGAAAAAATAAATTTGGTATTTGAAACCTTCAATTCCCACCGGCAAATTCTATATAAATAGTTGTCATTTCTAAATTTTTATGAATGAAAAATTAAACAACAATAATAATAATTTTCTCACCACCCTTGCCGCCGCACCACCAGTCACAATCATCATTGATGTCATCGCCACCACCCACCGTAGCTCGTCGCCACCTTCAATGCCACCACTGCCAACCATCAACATCATCGGTGCCACCACTACCACCTATGATCACCACTGCCATTGTACCGCCTACAACAAACATCATCTTCATCACTATCATTAGTACCACCACTACTACCTACCATCATCATCGTTGCCACCACTTCCATTCGCCATCATCCATGTTTCACCTATCACCACCCATCATCATCATTGCCACCTCTACCATCACCATATATTATCATCACTGTTTACACTGCCGTCAATGAGCCATCACCCACCATCGTCGTCATCATCACTGTAACCCCCTGCCAATTTATTTCGGAATTTTCATTTAATGGTAGGCCAAAAATATCCTAGTTACCCCTTATGTTATTAACCATACTAACAGTTCTTTCTTTGACGATTTTCCACTAATAATTAATCTCATTTATTTTATGGCTGCATCTAACTTCCCGTTAGACTGCCTACGTACCCTTAGAAGGGATCAAGCCAATCGTAGTTTACCAACCATAAGAAAAATTGAACAAACCCTACTTGGGTCCGTTTCAATCCATTTGCTTGTCAAATTTTCAAAATTAACAATCATGCGATATTGGAACACTTCCTTCGAATAATTTACTCCAAATTAGTTTTTGCCGTCTAGTTTTTATTTAACAGTCACACACTTACTTAACACTCAACAAAGAATTATATATACATAACCAGATTCCACAACTTCTTATAATTCCTCCAGCAAGTCCAATATGAATAAATTGTTAGCCAAAGATCACTCAAAATCCAAGGTGAGGCTCACAACAAGCCTACTTATCAACTTAAACCAATTCTTTGCTACTTTAGTTATAAGTTTAAAATCCACACAAATTCATCCAACTTACACCAAGAAGTTAACATAACTTAACTCATCTATTAGAATCAAAAAGAAAATATGAAAGGGTTTCTTGGGTTCTCACCTCCAAACTCCTCCAAAGTTGTTCATCAATCTGCCAATTCGCTATTACACTCTTAAATCAACTTCATCATCACGAATCCTCAACAAGAATCCCAAAATTTCGAGTTAAACACTTCAATCTCAAACTTGTTCGAAAATGAAATTTGGAATTCGAAAGATCCACTTACATATCCTGGAAGTGCATGATGAGAGGAGTATTTTTCTCTCTTGGGTCGAGACACATCTCCTGCGAGTTTGGCCATAATCGGCGAAAAACCCATGAAAACCGTCGAAACTTCTAGGCTTCAATATATGAACACACTTGGTTCCAGCATATGATTTTGGTATCAAATTGAAGAGGGCTTCGTTATGAATACATAGCTTTCGACCGTGTGTGATTTCATTGCCGTATGAGAAAGTTATCATTTTTGGAGTGAAGAAGAATTAAGGGGGAGATACCACAATAGCGCCCCCCCCTCGCTGCATCTGCCTGCCGGGGAAAGAAAAAGAAGAGAAGCCTTTGGCTTCTAGAATCCTCTCCTAAAATCATCATTTTGCCCTCTAACTTTGTTTGCTAATAACTCATTCCTTATAACACCGTTTGTCGAACAGTTTTCGCCTACATGCTCGTCGGACCGTGCTCTATCCAAATTTATCAAGAAATCATTTAAAATATATTAGTATAAAATATGTCCTCGTGTAATTACGTTAAACCAACTAGGGGCATTTTCATCTTTTTCATTTATCGATAAATTTTACGATATAAACTATAATAATTTCCAATATCAAAATTTTAAAATTTCTCAATTAAATTATCATTATCATTACCATAAATCGATTTATTCCCGATTTTCTCCATGTATTCATAATTATGAATATCAAATTCATATACTTAAATTTTTTAGGGTATTACAGTCATCACCTCCGCTGCCACCACCTCCATTAATACATTTTCAAACTACCATCTCTCACATATATATTAATAATATACACATTAAATTTCCATCATTTGAAAATCCTTGAATTTCTTCTTTCAAATATAGTGTGGCCTGTTTGGTATCCTTCTTGGATCCGAGAAAGATACCAAACAACCTCTTAAAAATTAAATAGCTCAAAACATCCGATCAAACTAGATATTCGTGCTCTTCTTAAACGGGACATCCTTAATAAATAAAGCTTCATTGTTTTGTATGAGGATTATAAACTTATAGAGTACATTGTTTGACATACGTTACTTAATTTAACAGCCGGATAGAACCTCAATCATTTAGAAACAATAACACGACATTGATGTATTAGTAGAAATACTAATATATAAACTTTACTATTATTTATTTTCTCTGACATTGTTCCAAGCCATCCCTGAGATAAACTATAAGTATGAGAGTTGTTCTCTAATTTAAAAACATAATAATAGTGCTCTTATAAAGACACAAATAAACAATGGTCTCAAATTAAAAACACGTGGGCTGTTTAAATAATATTAGTTGAATTTAACGTGCAAGTTGCAACAAACAAAAACCACCGAATTAAGGCCTAATACAAGCGAAGCAATCTTTAGGGTTTATTAAATTCAAAACGTGGAAGTAGCGTGGAAGCTTGGTAATTGAAAACGTGGTCCCTTTTTGAATAAAAAGACATTAAAGTAATGGTATCCTTAGTCCACAGACCACTGTTTTTTTGTCATTTATGTCACCAAGGTGACCAGATGATGTTTCCTAGCTCTATCTTGGAAGCTAACGTGAAGGCCTCACCTTTCACCTTTGAACACATACTTTTCAATCTTCCCGATCTTCCCTTCCCGTTATATATATTTCGTACAAACGCACACTCTCTTCCATTCCACTATAACACTTCTGGTCTTCACTTCTTTCTTAGTTTTTGAAGTTTCTAAGGACTCGTTTGAGAGTGCTTCTGTTTAGGGTTTTTGAAATGGCATCAGAAGACTCTTCAGCTTTAGAGCAGATTAGGCAACACCTTTTGAATGAATTTACAACAGTGGATAGCTTCATCACCAGTCTCAACCTTTGCACCTCCCATATCCCCCAAAAACATGAAATTACCCAATCACCCTTCAACACAGCTTCCTCCTCCTCCTCCTCCTCCTCCTCCTCCTCCTCCGCAATCACCACCAGCACCACCAACAGTGGCAGTGAGTCTACTGACCAATATTTCAAAATCTCTGATTACTTAGTCCCTGAAATTGATCAAGACACCCAATTCGAAACCAAACCCCAAATCTCCCACCCAAAACCTCCAAAACACTCGACTCTCAGCCACCGCAAGCCCGCCATAAACGTGGCCATTCCATCCCCACCAACTCTGTCGTCTTCTTCTGGTGATGAAAATCAAAACACATCAAACACTTCCACCGTGGTTGAAGCTGCTGCAAGGCACTACCGGGGTGTGAGGAGAAGGCCGTGGGGAAAGTACGCAGCGGAGATTCGTGACCCAAACAGAAGGGGATCCCGGGTTTGGCTCGGAACCTTCGACACCGCCATTGAAGCCGCCAAAGCTTACGACGTTGCTGCTTTCAAGCTGCGTGGAAGCAAAGCAATTCTCAACTTTCCACTTGAAGCTGGAAGATCAGCAGAACTCTCAGCCGATCATCCTCTGCTGGTCAGCAGAAAAAGGAGGAGAGAACGGATCACCGAAAGTCATGAGAGTTCCGGTGAGATGATCAGAAACAAAGAGATAAAGAAGGAGGAGGATGTTCAGGATGTAAAAATCCCCGCCCAAGAGAGAGTTTCGACCGCCGTTTGCCCATTAACACCGTCAAGTTGGACGGCGGTTTGGGATCTGAGCAAAGAAAACGAACTGGGGATTTTCAGTGTGCCTCCTCTGTCTCCGTTATCTCCTCACCCCAATTTCATGGGATATTCTCAGCTCATGGTTACTTGAACTTTTAATTTATGGTTATCATTCCTTCATTGCCAGAGTTTAATTTGTATCATCCATCTGCAAAAAAGCAGCATAAACAGAGTACTGTAAATAGTCCAGAGCAATATGGATTGAAGAACTCATATTGTTTTTTAAGTTTGATTTGTTTATATATTCCTTTAATCTTTGTATAATGAAATACTTTCTTCAACAAATTTTGTATGGTCTTTCCGTATTAATTTCTTTGATTTTCGAGTGTTGAACCTGCAATTCTGCAAGTATAATAACTGGTTCTTTAGATGTAGGCCTTACAAAAAAACGAAGGGTCCATTTTACATAGAACAAAGTGGTACCTTTTTAAAGACAAATGAGTACACTATTAATAAATTATAGGTAAAAATAAAAGGTAAAAAAAATATGAGTCCAAAGAAAAGTTTGAAAAATATGGACATAAAAAGAAATTAATATATGGACACAAACTAAAACTGAATAGAAAATTGGCACAACTTTAAAAAAAAAAAAAGGTAGCAAATTAAATTGAGTACAAACTAAAAATAAAAATATATGATACAAAAATTAGCCATAAATATAAATATATCAAATGTAACGTTCTAACACTAAATGAATAATTTAGAAATAAAATTAATTATCTTGATATGTAAAATATTTTATTATTGAAATAATTAATGATGTTTATTAAACCCAAGGGACCTTGATTAAAATTTGAAAAGGAATAAAGTTTCAATTAATAGAGTTGAAAAAAGAGGGATGAAACCTAATTTCTCCTATTTTATATTTTTCAAGTTCCCCAAATTCCCCTCAATTAAGTCATTATAGCATTTTATGTTGATATAAAAAAATAATGTACCTATTATTAAATTTCTGGATCTAAACAATATAGGTAAATTAATTTATATAGTAAATTAGTATAACATTGCATACATGTTTATTATGGATCTTGAGCCTCTATTAGGAGTAGGGGTGCAACTTGAGTTGGGCCAACCTGAATCCGTCCATGTTCAATTCGACTTTAAACCTGAACAAATGGGTTTTTTTAGTTATAACCCTCCCGAACCCACCTATTTTCAACCCGTTCATTGATTGGGTTGGGTTGGGTTGATCATTTGTCCAACCCAACTCAACCCAACCCGATTAACCAAACCCGATTGGGTTAAGCTGTGCAACGTGCTTCTCAATGACCTTTGCACCTTCGCAGAGGATTCACTAGTGACTTTTGATGGATTATGATAGAAAAGTGCATGGAGTTGCTGAAAGCAATTGTTTTTCTGGCAGCCACACTTTGATTTTTCTGCAGGAGCTTCGAAGGACAAGACTTGAGTTGGGTACTAGCTTTGGACAATGAAGTGTTCCTCTTTTCTTTTTTCTTTTTTTTTCTTTTTTTTTTTTGGTACTAGCTTTGGTATTTCTTGTATTTTAATTCAAACTTTGCATGAACCCGATTAAAACTTAAAAAAGTTGAGCAACCCGAACTCGGATGAACTCGATTAAAACCCAATCTGAACCCGAATTGTAAAAGTTGGGTTAAGGTTGGGTTGACCTTCTAACTCGCCCAACCCGCCCGAGTTGCACCCCTAGTTAGGAGGTATATTCATAATATTTTTCATATAAATATATTAGTATTTAAATTAGTGAATCTTTTTTAGGTTTATTTAAGTTAGTGAATCTACAAAATATAGATAAATTAATTTATAAAAAACTATGTTGATGCACAAAACCGGAGGGATCTTGGAATAATGTAAATCTGACCGTGAATCTGCAAGAAAGTAAATAACATAAGATGTATCGTGGTTCACCCCAATGTTTGGCATACGTCCACACTGATATTCTATTTCTCTCAGAGGATTGTAAGGGAGAGAGCCTCTGTAATGTGAGAGCGAGGCATTGAGAGGGTGAGATTCATGCCTAAGAATTGGCCTGACCCAATGAGGAAAGTAATGGGTCATTTTATAGAATAAGGGCTCCTTACTTATTACATATTTGCCCTTCCATTTATTACATAATTACATTTGAGTCCTCTGAGTATTTATACGAGATCTAAATACGGAGGCCCTAAGTATGGTACAAACACTAGTCCCCCAAGTCTTCAGTCAAGAGAGTCTTTTGGCTGGAGACTTGAAATTCAGTCCATGTGTGGGCCGAAGTAACTAGATGTCGTCTAGAACTGATACTCGATATGCGGCGGTGCCCAATCTGAAATGATGCTTAACTAGAAGTAGCAAATGTTGCGAGGCTGCTCTGCTTGTGGCTTATGTTGCCTTGGTTGACTCGACTTGTGGCGTTGAAGGTGAGGGAGTTCTTTTTGTAGAATGATGAGCTAGAGTTGATGCTCGCGGCAAGGTGGTTGCTCAGTAGGCGGCGATGCTCTCTAATGATGGTGAGGGAGTCCCTTTTATAGAATAAGGGTTCGCTCCTCAATACATAAGTGATGGGCTAGAGTTGATGCTCGCGGTGAGGCGGTTGCTCAGTAGGCGGCGATGCTATTTAATGATGGTGAGAAAGTCCTTTTTATAGAATAAGGGTTCGCCCCTCAATACATAAGTTATGGGTTAGAGTTGAGGCTCGCAGCGAGGCGGTTGCTCAGCAGGCGGCGATACTCTCTAATGATGGTGAGGGAGTTCCTTTTATAAAATAAGGGATCGCTCCTCAGCACATGTAGAATGGTTGCTCTCTAACGAAAATGAGGGAGTCCCTTTTATAGAATAAGGGCTCGCTCCTCAGTACATAAATAATAGGCTAAGTCCCTCAAGTATTTTTCATGAGGCCCAGTTGAGGCTCAATATATGGTACATAATGTAGTCCCCCAAGTCTTCGATCAATAGAGTATGTTGGCTGGAGACTTCAAATTGAATCCATGTATGTGCCGAAGTGGCGGTTGTTCGGAGACGGTATTTGTATACCCTGCATTGAAACTTTGTAGGTGAAGCTTTACAAGTGAAGCTTTTGAAGCTGGAGCTTTGTAAATGAAGCTTTTGAAGCTGATTGACATGAGTGTCATGAATGTTTATGATGATTGACATGAGTGATGTTCATAGATGTTGACATGAGTGATGCTCATGAATGTTGACATGAATGATGGTCATGAATGTTTATGTATGATTGACATAAGTGATGCTCATGTATAATTTTGGAGTACTAAACGTACTTTTGATCACCTGGTTGGTGATAATAGCGGCAGAGTGCCGAATAATTTTAGAGTACTTGGCGTACTTTTGATCATTTGGTTAGTGATAATTGTGGTAGGCTATCGAATAATTTTGAAGTATTGGGCGTACTTTTGATCACCTGGTTGGTGGTAATAGCGGCAGGTTGCCGAATAATTTTTTGTAGTACTGGACGTACTTTTGATCACCTGGTTGGTGATAATAGCAGCAGGCTTCCGAATAATTTTGGAATACTGGGCGTATTTTTTGATCACCTGGTTGGTGATAATAGCGGCAGGCTGCCGAATAATTTTGGAGTACTGGGCGTATTTTTGATCACATGGTTGGTGGTAACAGCGGTAGGCTGCCGAATAATTTTTTGTAGTACTAGACGTACTTTTGATCACCTGGTTGGTGATAATATAGGGCTTGGCTTTTTTAGGCATATGGGTCTTTGCCCTCCACATAACATTCCAGCCCATTATTTTGGGATTGTCCTTTTTTTTTTTTTTGATTACCCTCTGATGGGGTTATACAGATGTCTCCGAAAGATAAGAAAAATAAATTACATCATTCAAAAATAAATCCGACCCTCTGCTCAATGGGTTACGCCCATAATTCCTTTTTTCTGCAGCCATCACTACCGCAATTATGTCTGCTTCTTTTTATCTTCTTTTGCTTTTTGCTTTTACTTTTGCTTTTACTTTCTCTTTTCCCTTTCTTTGAAAATGATTTCACATGACTTTCTCCTTTTGCTTTCTCAAAAATCAGAAAATGATTTCACATGCATGAAACCGCGAGCACATGGCTTTCTCCCTGTTTTTGACGTCGTGACACTTCCATAGCAAATCTATTCAATAGATCTTGCTCTCTTCAGCAGAAAACGTCCATCTGGAATTGGCTTATTGATATGCACCTTATCAGCCTTCCTCTTCTTAAAGCTTTCTTTCCCGACTGGCAGCTAAGCTTTTGAGACAAAACGATTTCGTTGGACGTCTTCTCGGCGGCTACAGTAGGCGGGCATCTAAAAGTCCTGGAGATGTTGTTATTGAGAGCATTACTCATCCCTTCAAACACTTCAGTGCCATTATTATTCATGACCAACCCACAAGACCCGAAACCTAATTCAGCCCACTAGTTTTAGGAACTCGGGTCGAGTTTCACCGTCCGGTTACCATTCAGAAAACTCTGAAGCCCCTAAGCATGAATTGGAAGGGAGAAAACCTTACTAAGCTCATCCCCGCCAAAATTATACTGAATCTGTTGCTGTTGTTGATCATGATGGTCGCTCTGCTGCCACTTCATCTAGGCCCTCTCGACGATGGGATTGCCACGGCTGTCGAAGATCTGCCTAGCCTTGACGAGCGCCACATGTTCCTCGTTCGTGCTCGCTCGGCCGACTAGCACTCCAGCGCTGCATCTATGGGTTATCCAGCTCAAAGTTCTTCCCCACAACCGATTCATTAAAAAGGTGTCCTGCAAGTCGGTGGAGACTTCAACATCGCTTATAGTGGTTAGCGAAGAGAGGTAACGGTCAGCACCCAAAGAAACCTCAGGAAGAATAGTGTACTGCAAGACCTTATCAGTTAAAAGCATGTTAGACAGCTCCCTTCTTATCTGCTTAGCCACCATTGCCACTCTGCGCGGGTTCACCATGTACCAGATGGTGTTGGGCCGCCAACCGAGCAGAACCGCATGATTTGTTGAGTGAAACGAGGCCGTTAATTTCTGGGTCTGAATTGGAAAGTTTGATGATGACGATGATGATGATGGGAGGTGGGAAAGGAAGGAGATGAGTGGTGGGTGGTGGAGGACCAAGTTTGGCATTGTTGATTGCTGTATTCTATCCCAGCTCTTCTCTTCTCCTTTTTAGTGCTGGCAATGACGAGGACAAATCAGAATATTGGTGTGGTGTTTGGTTATTAGGTTTCTGCATATTCACGGTGGAGTGTGGTGAGGTCTCAAGGTGGTGAGATGAAAAAATGAAAGAGAACCGACATAGCTTTTTTTGTCGATTCCCACAGATGACGCCAAATGTTGATGCATAAAACCGGAGGGTTCTTAGAACAACGTA